ACTGGGGCCAGCGGGTGGCGTGGTGGTTAGGGGCACTGGACTCCCATATGGCCAACCACAGTTCAAGTCCCAGACCTGGTGGCTTTTCTCACTTTCCCTCTCTCTCACACACACTTTCCTACTCTGGTCAAATTAAAATAAAGTTAAATAAAAGAATCCTTTTGAAAAATGTATTATTTATTTGTCTATTTATTTGTTGTGATTTTTAAGGCACCAGGTCCAGCTCTCAAAGCACAGTTGGCCACGTGGGAATCCAGCACTTAAACCACCACACCACCTACTGGCCCTTTAAATTTTTTTTAAAAGAATTATTTATTTGGGACCAGAAGTTGGTGTAATGGCTACGTCGCTGGACTCCCATGTAGTCGACCACCACGGTTCGCGTCTCAGACCCTGTGGCTTAAACTCACGCCAGGCACAGGTATTCGTGCCCAAGATCCCGAGAGGAGAATGGAGGAGAAGGGATTGCGGCGTGGCCATCCCCCCACCATCCCCCCAGGGGGTGATTTCTCGCTTTCTCTCTCTCTGTCTCTGTCTTTCTGGCAAGCACACGTGCCCTATCGCAAAAACCTCTAAAAAAAAAAATGATTCATTTAATTTTATCTATTTATTCATTTTTCATTTGACCAGAGAAAAACACTCAGAGAGTGGGACCAGCAGTTAGCGTAATGGCTATGTCGCTGAACTCCCATGTAGTTGACCGCGGTTCATGACCCGGACCCGGTGGCTTAAAACTCACGCCAGGTGCGTGTGCGTGCGTGCCCAAGATCCCGAGAGGAGAACGGAGGAGAGGGGATTGCAGTGTGGCCATCCCCCCTGGGGGGTGATTTCTTGCAACACTCAGAGAGTGGGACCAGCAGTTAGCGTAATGGCTATGTCGCTGAACTCCCATGTAGTTGACCGCGGTTCATGACCCGGACCCGGTGGCTTAAAACTCACGCCAGGTGCGTGTGCGTGCGTGCCCAAGATCCCGAGAGGAGAACGGAGGAGAGGGGATTGCAGTGTGGCCATCCCCCCTGGGGGGTGATTTCTTGCTTTCTATCTCTCTCTCTCTGTCTGTCTGGTGAGTGCATGCACCCTATAGCAAAAACCTCTCCAAAAAAAGGAAAAAAAAAAACACTCAGAGAGAAGGGAATTGAGAAAGCAAGCCACCATATCCGGGATTCGAATAGTGGTCAGCCATGTGGGAGTGTCCAGCACCTTAACCACCACACCACCTGCTGGCCCTCACTTTCTTTTATAGCCAGAGGGCACACAAGCTCATCAGAGAGAAGGGGCATGGTCCTACCATCCGCACTTTGGGCACACATGCACACAAGCCTGGCGCGGTTTTGAAGCCTCCGGGGCCGAGATTTGAACCTTCGTCAACTATGTGAGAACTGGCTTTCCACGCACAGTGCTTAACCTTTGGACTCCCTGGGCGATCCTATCTGTAGGGTTGCCTTGGACAGAGATTGCGCAATCCTGCGGTTTCGGGTTTCCGTCTTCCTCTCATGAAGCACCGTTGTCCTGTTGTCCTTGAGAGCCCTGCAGAGCGGGTGTGTCCCTCCAGAACATTCCGCCCTGCTGTGAACCCCTGCTGGTAAGCCAGCTGCCAATGCTGTTGACTCAGTCTCCATTTCTGATGACAAAGACGAGATGAATCTCACATCTCGGAGCGAGGAGACTTCCCGGAAGAGGAGCGTGACCATGCCATGTGTTTTTTTTGTTGTTGTTGAGAGGTATTTGCTATAGGGCATGTGCATTGGCCAGAAAGAGAGAGACAGTGAGACAGAGAGACAGAAAGCGAGAAATCACCCCCCAGGGGGGATGGCCACGCCGCAATCCCTTCTCCATTCTCCTCTCGGGATCTTGGGCACGCACGCACACTTGCGCCCGATCACGTCATGTTTTGGAAACAAAATGTGCTCCGTGTGCTTCGTCCTCTGAACCTTTACCGTGCAACGAGCCTATTCAGGATTTGTCACAGAACGTGCACACCCATTTTACCTCCTCATTGCCTGCTTGTGACGGGTAGACCACCTCCCACCCCGCTATGTAAGTGACACGCCGTTGAGCATCTAGGTGCAAGCTCCCTGGGGTAACCGTTCTTGAAAACATGCCTGTGTTCACCGTATCAGAGGATCGCATGGCATTTTCACGGCACGGCTCACTTTCAGCTTGCTTTACCAGATGACCGAACTAATTTACACCCCCAGCTGCAATGAACAAGAGGTCTCGTCTTCCCCCATCCTCACGAACACGTAATACACTCCACCTTAGCTATTTATTTATTCCACGAGACATCACGAGAGAGATACCCACCCCAAGGACCTGCAGGTGGCGTAATGACTATGTCGCTGGACTCCCACGTAGTCGACCACAGTCCGAGTCCCGGACCTGATGGCTTAAACTCACACGGGGTACGTGTGAGTGCGTGCTCAAGATCTCGAGAGGAGAATGGAGGAGAAGGGATTGCGGCGTGGCCATCCCCCCTGGGGGGTGATTTCTCGCTTTCTGTCTCTCTGTCTCTCTCTGTCTTTCTGGTGAGTGCACGTGCCGTATAGCAAAAACCTCTCAAAAAAAATAAATAAATAAAAAGATACCCACCCCCAACAGGTCTTTGGTCTCTGATCCAGCCCAAGCCTCAGTCAGCCATGATGGTGGGCAGGTGCATGGCAGCCCGGCCTGGACAGTGAGACCTTAGGAGGTGAGGAGGCGGCCTTCCCACGTGACTTCAGCATTGGGAAGCTTTATGTTATCACTGCTCCCCCTTTTTTAGATTTTTCCCCCTTTTATAGATTTTTGCTATAGGGCGCGTGTGCTTGCCAGGGAGACAGAGACAGAGAGGCAGAAAATGAGAAATCATCGTCCCCAGTGTGAGTTTTAAGCTGCTGAGTCCGGGACTCGAACTGCAGTCCACTACGTGGGAGTCCAGATACGTAACCATTACACCATCTACTGGTCTGTCCACCTTTAAAAAAAAAAAAAAGAAGAAGAATGATTTTATTTAACTTTACTTATTATTATTATTATTTTAGTATTTTTAGAGAGAGAGAAAGAAAGAAAATGAGAAAGCAAGCCTCCAGGTGCGAGACTTGAACCACGGTTGGCCATGTGGGAGTCCAGCTCCCTTAACCACCATACCACCTGCAGACCCCGCCCTCCACCTTTTTAAAATTGCTTTTTTTTTCATGGTAAATGATGCATGAGAGACAGTGAGCGATAACTCTCCCAAGAGGCCCAGGTCATGCCACGATCTTTTGTCGTCCAAGTCCCCATCCCATCAGTACCCTGGATGTGTTCAGGAGCACGGTGTTTTCAGACTGGCCTGGGGATTCAAACCCACAGTTGGACATATGGCTTCCAGTTTGATTGGATCACACTAGGCCCATAACCTCACTGCTTTATCACAGAGTCCGTTTGAGGGAAGCCTGGTTACTGCCGCTCTTTTTTTTTGGATTATTTAATTTTTATTAGTTATTATTATTTTTAATTTGACATGGGCGATAGAGGGAAAGTAAGAAAGCTAAACTCCAGGTCCAGGATTCAAACTGTGGTTGGCCATGTGGGAGTCCAGAGCCTTATTCACCATGCCACCTGCCAGTCCCTTTTCCCTTTTTCTTTTTTCTTCTTTTAAAATTTGCTATAGAGGGACCAGCAGTTAGCGTAATGGCTATGTCGCTGGACTCCCACGTAGTTGGCCACGGTTTGCGTCCCGGACCCGGTGGCTTAAACTCACGCCGGGCGCGTGTGCGTGCGTGCCCAAGATCCCGAGAGGAGAACGGAGGAGAAGGGATTGTGGCGTAGCCATCCCCCCTGACCATCCCTCCTGGGGGTGATTTCTCGCTTTCTGTCTCTCTGTCTGTCTGGCGAGCACATGCATCCTATAGCAAAAACCTCTCAAAAAAAAAAAATTTGCTGTAGAGTGTTTGTGTTTGCTGGAGAGACAGTTGGTATAGGGCATGTATGCTCACCAGAGATACATGCACAGAGAGAGGGGGAAAGTGAGAAAGCAAGCAGCCAGATCCGGGACTCAAACGGTGGTCGACCACGTGGGAATCCAGTGCCTTTAACCACCACGCCACCTGCTGGTCCCTACCTTCTGGGATTCAGAGGCACACATGTGTACCTATGCCAGGCATGGTTTTCAAGTTGCCGGGTCTGGGGCTCAAACTGCACAGTCAGCCGTGAGGGATCCAGTGCCTTATTCACCCCTCCACTAGGTGGCCCGCTGTCCTTTTCATGGAGAAGAAAACGGAGGCTTCTAGAAGCTACGTACTCTATGTATCTTTCTGCAACATTGCATCAGTTGTGGAGTCTGGTGGTCTTCGTGGACCACCAAACCCACAAATGTCTGCTGCTTTCTGGCTGAGACGGACTGAATTAAGGTCAGGGTGTGAGATGCTTGGCCTCGGGAGCCATGTCGGAAGGTGCGTCTCAGGAACCAGCAGGAGTCGCATCTTGGTGTCAGGGCTATGTGCCTCTCTTTCTCTTTCTCTTTTTTTTTTTTTTTGGGGGGGGGGGGGTTTGCTATAGGGCGCGTGCGCTCGCCGGAAAGACAGAGAGAGACAGAGAGACAGAAAGCGAGAAATCAACCCCCGGGGGGATGGCCACGCTGCAATCCCTTCTCCTCCATTCTCCTCTCGGGATCTTGGGCACGCACGCACACGCGCCCAGCGTGAGTTTTAAGCCACCGGGTCCAGGACTCGAACTGCGGTTGACTACATGGGAGTCCAGTGACATAGCCATTATGTCAACTGCTGGCCCCATTGTGTGTCTCTTTAAGGAGGATGCCCGGCCTCAAGCCCATAAGACATGGCACGGAGCTCAGAAGAGGAGCCCCCAGTACCAGAGGCTGTCACCGCAGCTGTCTGGCCAGTCTCCCTCGTCTCACCTCCAGCCCATCCCAGAACGGACCTAGCCCTGCGATTGGCCAAGGGGCTCACATTCCTGGAATGAGGCAGAGGAAGCGGGAAGGATGTGAGAGTTTGGGTGGGGTCGGGGCAGGGGTGGGAGCCAAGTGTCTATCTCTGTCCGGAGCTGGGAGCCTTCACTGCCATGGACACCTCCGAGTACAGAAAGTGGGGCGACCAGTCCGAGGAGGCCCCAGGAGGTATGAACAAGGGGATTGCCTCGTCCACCCCTTTGGCCTCTCCCTGCCCCAACACTTGGGATTTGATGGGGGAGAGGAGCAGGAGAGCACAGAGGGAGTCAGGTAGTGGGTGCCCAAGAGACAGACCCCACAGTCACAGAGCAGGGGGACTTGCCTCCAAAGTCAGCCCTGGCATTTAGGGGCTGTGTGACCACAGCCAAGAGGCTTAACCTCTCTGAGCCTCAGTTTCCCGTGCAGAGCCCAAGCGTCCAGGGCTCAGCCCTGGAGACCCAGGAGTCTCTGTGTTCACTCAGGGTCCTGGGGACGCTGGGAGCCTTGTCGGTGGAAACCCCTCTTACTAGGGCTGGTTCTCCTGGGGGCCACGGTCCTATGGACTTTCATTCTGAGCATCCTGTTGTCCAAGGGTGAGTGACCCCTTATCAGGGAGAGACCATGTCTGTGTCCTCCCTGGGGAGGTTCTGAGCGTGAGCGCGTGTGCACAGAGCGTGTGTCCATCTTTGGGCTGTGAGCACGCGCGCGTGTGCACATCTGCCAGTCCTTATGTGTTGGCATGTCCGGTGAGTTCGTCTCCCTATCGGCGCGTATGCATGTGTGCATTAAACGTCTGCCCGTTTCCTCTGCGGGCCCCCACACCCCCTGGCGGCGGGGTGGGTTCCTGCATCCCTCGGCTGTGCGGGCAGGCGCTTCTCTCTGCAGCCTCCACGGAGCGCGGGGAGCTTCTGGGCAACCAGGATTTGCTGAGGACAAACGGTGCGTGCAGAACGGGGGCGCTGTGGTCCCCGGGGTGTGCGGGGCAGGAGCGCCTGTACCTGGGAGACTGGGTAGTGGGTGGTGGCGATCCCACGGTCGCCGAGAATGGCCCGGAGTTGGGAAGGGTGTCTTCTGAGTCTCTCCCAGGTGACCCGGCCTGCGTGTGTGCGGGGGATCGGGGGTGTCGTTCCAGCCTCGAAGCAGACGGTGGTGCTGGGTGCTTTGAAGCAGGAGCTCCGAGCCTGCAATAGCTGCTGTGAGCCGCGCTGCGGAGGCTGGAGGGCTGAACGCGAGGGGCTCGTGGATTGGAGGAGGCAGCGGGGGG